CATCTTGGTTCTAAAGATATGCTAGACATTCTGAGTGTTGTGTAAATCTTGAAATATTTAAGCCTTGTATAGAAATTCCATTTTAGGGGCACCTGAGTGGCTCAGTTAAGGGTCTGACTTCAGCTCAGGTCATGATCTCACAGTTAGTGGGTTTGAGCCCCACATCGGGTTCTGTGCTGACAGTTCAGAGCCTGGATCCTGTTTCAGATTCTGTGTTTCCCTCTCTCTCTGACCCTCCCCCGCTCATGCTCTGTCTCTCTCTGTCTCAAAAATAAATAAAAACTATAAAAAAAAGGAATTCCATTTTATATTTGTTCATGGACTGACCTAATAGAGCATCTCATTAAAACCCTACTTTAAGTCTGAATCTTCCTTTCTCTAATTTGTTTTACCTTTGTGTTTATTTACTGGATTATGAGTCTCTCAGTTCTTTAGAAGAAAAGTACTCTGTGTAAACTAAGGGTAACTACTGATGATTTTCATGGCTATGATTTATTAATTAGTCTGGAAAATGCTTCTAACAACTTTGCACTGATAATCTGAGGACATAGGTTTTATTTCCAAATCTTCCCTCTCTAAGAGCTGTTTTCATTAATGAGGAAAGTGTAGGCTGGCTCTCCTCAGTCTTATTCTCAGATACAATCAATTGAAGAGAAATCAAAATCCTTTTCCATTACACTTGAATTAAGAGCAATTTGTTAACTGTATGGGGATTTCTCATAATCCAAAAGTTCTCTTTCATTCCTAGATGATTTTATTTTCACTGAAAGCATAAATTTGGAATACTTCATTACAAGATAGAGTTGATAGGATAAAGAACAATTTTTTCCCTACATGCCTAAAAATTAGCTATATTGTGACTAGCTAAACTTTGTGCATAGATCATTGGAATTCATCGTGATTTTCCTTCTGTGGGTTCAGAGTCACTGACTACTAAGGCTGGAGTAGTTCTTTTATTTTGTCAAAACTGAGGCCAGAGAAAAAGGGATTTTCATCACAGCAAAATTGTTTTGTTCTTTTCCAATAGTGAACATTATAAAACAAAACAATAATAGAACAGGATATCATAGAGCAAAAAGGGCCCAGTTTTTGTTTTATCTCCCTCTTCAATTCTCTGCCTCCTTTCAACTCTCTTGTGTCAGTGAAAAACTCAAAAGATAAGCAAAAAAAGGAAAGAAGGGCTGAAATAAAAACTGGGTTATTGATCTTGAAAAATTGAAACATGTATATTATAGATTATATTCACAAGCCTCACAAAAACATCAGGCTCATAGCATGTTGTGTCTACTCTTTATGCTGATTCTTAGATAACAATGACCAGCAAATAGGGGTAACTGCTCAGGGGGTTTCCTTTTATGGCCTAGCGGGAAGGTTCTTGAACTTATCCAACAGGTTGGTCCCAGGCGTTTCTTTCCTCTGGTGCCATCTGGGTCCAAAGTGGAAGAGGTGGAGGAGGGGGCAGCCAGGGCTGCAAATGACTATAGCTCTGGGTCAGTTCACCCCTACCTGCTCTTGTACATGGGCTCCCTCAACTTTGGTAGGTATTTGTCACACAAAATTCCAAATTACTATTTAGAAACTTTGACCCAAATTGACTAAAGATGAAAATCTATTGTGTATCTAGAAATAGCCTAAACAGAAAGATGAACAAAACCCACCATTTTCCTCAAACAGGTGATAATTGAGGGCTTTTCACTTCCAGAGGGAAGGGCCCTTTGGTGGTATTAAAACCTGCATGGGTGGGGCACCTGGGTGGCTCAGGAGGTTAAGCATCAGACTTCGGCCTAGGTCATATTTCATGGTTCCTGGGTTCGACCCCTGTGTCATGCTCAGTTGGGACAGCCTGGAGCCTACTTCAGATTCTGTGTCTCCCTCTCTCTCTGCCTCTTCCCCACTTGGACTCTGTCTCTCTCAAAAAACAAACAAACAAACAAAACCTCTGCATGGGTGTCCTGTCCTTAGGCTTTAGATAAATCACTCTGTTCTAATAACAATAAGGATATCAATTAGCCATCATAGATGTTAGCAACTAAACTGGACATGTTTATTATTAATATGTCTTGTTTACTTTCTAATTTCATTATAAATACTAGGTTATATAATAATTATCATTATCAACTTCACAAAACTCATATTTTCCAGCCAGATGTAAACATTTTGAAGGATTAGAATATTTTAAAGTCTTGTAAATAATCCCAGGTGATTAATAATATGATTTAACAATGTAGTTAAGAATGCTAATTCAATTGCTTTTTATCTCAATATCTCACTAGGAAGGACAGACTAGTCAAATGAGACAATGGGGCTTTGGTAACCCAATACTATCTTAATGTAAATTAACAGTAAACATTTGAAAACAACAGAGGAGATTTAAAAATAAATTTAAGCTTGGGTAATTGAATCCTGATTCAAAATGGTATTTAGCACTAGAATGTAATATACTACCTACTGCTCAGTCTATTATCTATCATTATCTTTTGAACCCTATAATTGGATGAACAGGCAACTATTCATAATAATAAGTTTGTTCAAAATCATCTGTTTGCTAGAGTCTGGGGTGTACACTGCAGTCATATTGAACTGAAGGCAAAACTGCTTACTTTATCCTTTCCATTGTGTGTTCTTCTTTGTTGCCAGAAGGCACAGCAACACTGCCCATCTGGATAGTTCAGAGCATCTCACCAAAATTAAAAAACAAAAACAAAAACAAAAACCAATAATTTTTCCTGCATTCCATGAATGGGCAACATAAATCATATTTGCTGCAAGACAGGCCACCCTTGAATCGGAGCCATCCTGTGCTTAGAGTGTGTGCACATAGCTGTGCTTAACACAGAACTGGGGCAAGCAAATTGCCTTTTGGAATTTCCATTAGATCTAACCAGGTAGTTGCTTTATTTGTCCTGTCACTGGTTTTATTTTTCAGTGATTCTTTAGTAGTTATATCCCTTCTTTTACAGTTATCCAAGCATCAGGTTGCACTGGGGCTCCTCACATAGGGCTCCTTCTAAGAGATTTAAATGGAAAGGCAACACAAGCCATTATTGGTTTATTTTCAGTTTTCATTATCAATAAAACAAGAGATCAGCATTTTCATGCTGTGTGAAACCTTCAGGGAAGTGCAATGTCCCTGTCATTATTTTTAGGCCAGACGGCCACCTGCCCCCACTAATGCAGATGGAATGATGAATCCATCAAAATAGAGATAAAATGATGAAAGCAAGCATCAGAGTCATAGAGTGGGCTTCTGCCCCGGTCTGCTGCATGGCTTCTTGACAATGTCCCTTTGAATTTAGTGGAGCCTGGATGGTAAAGACCACAGATCATGACAGAACATAAATTCGCCTCATAATGAGATTAGGAGGCAGGCAAAATAAATGTCCTGCTGTTACATGAGAGCCAGGCTCTAATCTGGTGTTTTCCTTGGAAATGATTATTTCCTTTGCAACAGGGGAACCATTGGCCCAACTAACTTAAATCTGACAGATTCTGTTTTGCCACGTGGTTATTTTTCATCTTCTTCTGTCTTTTTAGCAGCAGTTTTGAGGAGGCGTGTAAATGAATTGTGAGTCTTAAAGACTATTAACGGAGTTATGGATGACTATGTTCATGATCATTAATTGTATTTCTCAGACTCCCCTTTTAAGAAAAGTTCTGTGCAACCCCTCCCCCTTCTAAACAGCACTGGGCTGTGGAGGAGGTGTCATGACCCCTAGGGTCCTCTCGCTCTACCCTTAAGGATCAAAGGCAGAATAGATTCACTATTGTATTTGGGGTATTTTTTTAAATCTTTTCCCCGACTCTACTACTTAAAACCACTGGAAACAAGTATCACATACTAAAGAGCCTTAAAAAATGCCCAGATCAGGTGAACACACGTGGTCTCTGAGTGGAACAAAGGCCTTGAGTATGCAGCTTGATTGCAAAGCACTTTTTTGGTTTTCAGCAGAAGGCAATCTCACCTGAAGTACAATACCCTCCTCTCATTAAAAATGCAAGATAGGATCTCCTCCTGGATCCTTTCTACAGAACCTGATGCAAGTTCATGGGCTGCACTGTCCTTAGCAGTGAGTGGCATTTAATCAAAGCCTTCTGTGAAATAATCTCCGAGTTTCCCGAGCCCTGTAAAGTCACCAAGAGAGTTGAGAGGTCCTTTCAAAGGAAGGGGAGATCAGACTCTGAATTTAGGAGTATTTAAAGCTTCTGCATAGAAGGCACAGACAATTTAATGTACACTTATTTTCTCTACATTTTCTCAGGTCCAGGCTGGAGATTCCTTACTTCTCTGTGACCACCCGTTAGGAATAAATCATTTGCTAGTACGTTGATTCATGGTATTCTGACATATTATTTTTTTAGGCTGGAATAAACCCACAGAAATCTTTTGTGTTTGCATATGCATTTTACAGTGTATGCAGTGGTTTAAAAACATTAGCGCATCTAATGAAAGTTTCCTTTCTGCGTCTGGTGTTTCCATCTAAAAACTTAAACTGCAAATCCAGCAACTATGGGGGAGAAAATATATTTGTGGCCCAATTTAATAAGTTTTTTTCCTTTCAACTTTCTTATTTCTCAAAAGTTTGAATTGTATTCCTACTTGTATATTTTCTATGCCTCTGATTTGCAGATGTCTGAAAGTTTCAAGTCATTTCTGCTCCCATGCTCTGTTAACACCCTCCTCGTCAGGGGAAACAGTCCAAGGGAAGACAGACTGATTTCTGTTAAGTAGGTGCTCCTACATTCACTGGTGCTCTCTTACAACTCACCTTATCATTCCTTAATTCTTTCTTCCCTGCCCGGCCAGATCTATCCCCCATTCTCCACGGCACCCTAGATTTGTAATTTAAACTGCAAACAGTAACTTTATGAAGTGTCCAGCATATTTGTCATGTGTTAATGATTTTCTGATAGCAACCCATGCATTAAACTCTCAGAATTCATGTTAAAGTTCTATGTCCCATACTTTCCCTGAAGGAATTCCCCGAATTATCTTTGCTTACCTCATATAAGTGAACTTGTTCTTGGGTTACAGCAAAGATTAATAACACGTTATTTTGCACCAGCTTATCAATGAGTTGTCCAATTGTTGGATATTCCTAAAAATGACATATAGATTCTAAGTGTCATCTTAACACAAGTGTGTAAAATAAAGAAAGGAGTATTTCTTTCAAAGATATCACAGTAAGTTTGGCATTTCAATTTGCTTCTAAGTAAACAAATACACAATTAGCATTAGTCACTTAATTGGTTTAATAATTGTTTCCTAAATCTTGTAAATCCAATTAATTCCAAAGAGTCCATGCCTGGCAATGTGGTATAGTATGCCCTGTCACTTCTAAGGAGAGCACTTGGAATTTATTTAAAGACATATGTGTGTGTGTCATATTTTCAATGGTAGAGACATGGTTCTTCTAAGTGCCACTTGCCAGCAGACTCAAGCTGTAGAGAATGTTAGAGTTGGGGGAGGAGTGGTAGGCATGATATATGTGACTGCAGTGACTCAGGTAGCTCTGACACTCCTACTGGAATTGGATGAGGTGGGCTGAGGGCTGAGGAAGGGACAGCCTACTGAGGCTGACACACTACGGTTCCTACGTCCATCTGATTTGAGACATTCCTGCACCAGTTTTGGATTTGTTTTTACTGACTTTTTGATGTCACTAATCAATTTTATGGGATCCTGTGATAATTTTACAGGACAACTGAAAACACCTCGTATTTCTTTTTCATTGACACATTCATTCCCAAGTGATATGAGTTCTTTGAAAAACAAGGAAGGCATAAATTATCAAATTTGAACATGGCCTCTACTTTCTAAGGTTAAAAAATGTGCAGCACACTTGGCTGTTGTATGAATCCAAATGTGGATAATATACAAAGAGGTAACTCAAATGAAAGAGCAGCCTGCAAACAATGAAGCTAAGATTATGTTGATCATGAAGGCAGCCAAAGCAGAGCAATGCTGACAAATAATTCCTTTTATACATTGATGTGTGTGTTCACATACTCTCAGCACTCTGGGAGTAATTCTGCCTAATGTTTTCTTTAGGCACAAGATTCAAGTTCAGGGAAAAGTATAGTTTTGTCTAAAATGTTCATGTAAATGAACCAGCTGCGTATCTGGCTGTGTAATATGTGCTTGCCATCCAATTTGGATTTTTATTAGTAGATATCCAGATAACATAAATCTTCCAGAGTCTGACATTTTGAGTGTCCCCTGCTTTTCAAGTGCCCAAACATCAAAAATCCTTTACCTGAAAGACTAAATTCCCCCAACAGTGGCCCCTCCTATCTCCACATTCTCACACTTTCAAATGATGTGCATATATAGCAAGGATCACACTGTAAAGCCCTACATAGATGGGCAAATGTGGTTTTCTATTTGACCTAAATCGGTTTAATTTCCACAATTATATTGTAAGTTCCTCAAGGCCAGGGACCATGTACTATTATTTTGTGGTCCCAGGAGTCTGGCCCAGCACTGAGTGCACAGAAAGTGTTCAAAGGACCCAGGGAACTATGCTGCAGGCAGACATGGAAATAACCCACAACTTCTGTGTATTTGTACCAACTTACTGAGCAAAATGAATTGAACTTTTATTAGATGAGAAGGTCATACCAAGGAACAAGTAGTGCTTGCTTCTAAGATCCTGCTTTTTCAGAGATGTCTATTAATGGGGCATTTGAATAATTGCAAGATAGAGTAATGAAAAAGTGATCAGTTTTCTTGGCCCTCAAAGGCTAAAACACAAAAATGTGCCTACTCTCATAAATATTGTAATGTGGAAAGGCAATTTATGTGATAAAAGAATATATATGTTTGAGGACTACTATTGGTCAAGTTTGAGGAATGCTATTGGTCAATAAGGGAAAACACTCATGTTGAAATTTAGAAATTTAAGTCAATGAATGGTAGCAGGTAATTTATGAATCATTTGGGTTTTTTTAAAACTAATATATATCATATATATTAAAACTAATATATATGTATTATAACTAATATATATAATATATATATTATGTCACTGAATTCTTTTTTTCAGGAATAGTTTTTCCAATCTGATATTAGAATTCTGGGTTCTTCTCTCTGTCTCTCTCTCTCTCTCTCTCTCTCAATCCCTTCTATATATTTCTATATGTAGCACTGTCATTTTAAGAAGTTACTTGAATTTTTAAGTACCATATTTTCCCAAGTGCTATTGGGGATAATATGATCTTCCCAGGTTGCTACTTCATAATTCAATTCTATTTCATACATAGTCAACACCCATTGTGTTCCAGGCACTGTGCTGTCAGGAGATAGAGATAATACACTAGTCCCAGCCCTGAGGAACACACATTAAAGACCAACAAATATGAGCAAACACATTTCAGCATGGAGATGGATAAGAAGGCATCTATGTAATAGAGCGAGGGGAAGTATGATCACTTCAGGGTCTAGCAGAGGGCAAAGAGGGCTCTCTGGAAGCAGTCATAATTAAGTTGGGTTTTAAAGGATAATTAAGAGTCTCTCAGCAGCCTAGGAGAGAAGAGCATTCCAGACAGGGGGAAGAACATGTGCTCGAATGTGGCAGCTTCATGGTCCAAGCAAGGAAAGCAGTGAGATACATAGGGTGCTGGTGAGGATCAAATACAATCATGTATGTCAAAGAGCTCTGAAATTTTTACTTTGTTTTACAAAAGTTAAGAGCTTTTTCTTTTTTCTTTGAATGTTACCAGCATTTTTTAAATAACAAAAATAAGCCAAATGTGAATAAGCACCAGCCAAGCAGTACCTGACTAGTTGTTCCCCATGGAACACTATGGTACACAAAAGCATGGCATTACTTAGGGGGCATGACTCTGGGACCATCATTCACTGAAACTCCTAGGTGATTGTTATTTTGGCCTAAGATCCCCTGGGGCCCTTCTGGGGCTGTTGTTGAGAGCGGGCCCAGACTTCTCACATATACCCACCATCCACCTGTCCTCCTGTCCAAAGCTCTAAGGGAAATTTGTTAATCTGAAATTAGAACATGTGCACTGTTTTCACCAAATGTGGGTTATTCTGCTGGGTACTGCAACAATTGTTGCTTCATTTGCCTACTTGAAGCCCCGAAAACAGTGTAGAGTGCAGGTTACACACCAAGACAGTTGACATGGAGTATTCATTCTTGTTGTCCAAGTGACAGAGCCCATCGTTAGGAATGACGATGCCTGCCAGTTTGCTGTCCATTCCAAAATGAGAATCAGCATCACTCACAAAGACCAGGAGATGGAGGGAGTCATTCCGCCAGCCAATTTTTTCCTACAGTGAGAAAGAAATATTTGGGTTGTATGGGATAGAAGCAGGCATTTATTGAGAGTGGATCAATTATGATTGAACACATTCAGATCATAAAAACTATATTGCTGATCTATCTATTTTGGCTCTTTTCATCTCTTGTGAGTTGATAATATTAATGTACTAAAAATATGAAATTCTATGGTATTTGCTTTTTCTTGGATAGCACCTTTAGATGATTTATGCTTCAGAATAAACAGTTCCACTATAATCACTATCCAGTTGATCTTGACTTTTACATAGTTAATTATTTTTACTGTCCAGCTTTCAATTTACCAGAAAAATGAGAAGAGGGAATAGGGGAGGTCATAGATCATTCCAAACCCAAGCCGAAGCAAAACTAGTAAGAATGCAATACACAGTGGACTTAAAGTATGCCTGTTTTTATTAAAATGTCACCCAACATTTAGGTACATTTTTCTTTTTCTACTGATACCATCCAAAAATTATAAATGTAATAGAAATATAAGAATTTCTTTTCAAAATACAATCCCCCAGTGTATGGCTATGTAAGATGATCTGTTGTCTGTTTCTTAGCAAAGCTCTCCCCTTTAACTGGTACTAGTCCAGGAACTAGTGGGACAAAAGCTCATACTGTCAGCACCATCCCACCTGGCCCCTTTCCCCCTTTCCCTAATACTTTGGCTCCTCTGCCTTCCAGGACCTTTAGTTCTGTCTGTTTCTTGGTATTTTCCAGGAAGACCTGTCATCTGGACAGGGGAATCACTCCCTTGGACACCTGTCTGATTGTCAAGGAGGGGCAGTTCGGTTTTTCTGCATTGTTGTAGGGACTGTGTAGCTTCTGGTACTTATTTTGTTGACTCAAAACAATAGATATCTAATCTTATGTAGAACTTTATACTGATCAGGGCATTTTTATTTTTCATTAATTTCTGCCTGTGATTTTTATTTTTACCATGGTTTATTCAAGAACAAGTATGATCTTGATCTTTGAAAACTGGTCATACCTGACTATTGTTTTAACCAATTTTTCCCAATACTATTATAATTTTATTAGATTATTTGAATATCAGGCATAAAAAAGTATCTGTTTCAACATGACTGAATTACAAATTTTTAGAAACATTCTAAGGAATTTAGAAATGTGACAATTAAAGGAAAGATAAAGTTAGCTAAGCTTTTCAAAATAGATTTGCTAATAAGAGATGGAATTTGTGTTCCCCCTCAGCATACCTTACACACAGCAGCTTGCATAATTGCATCAAATCCACCTTCTGGTGTATCAATATTAGCAGAAATTTTCTGGTTCTTCACAATTTCATTGAATCTTTCAGCATCATTTGTCAATGGCAGAATGTGCTTGAATCCAAATGTAGGTAAGCAGAAGTATGGAATACTACTGCAAAAGTAAAATGTGAAAATATTCTTGATGAACTATGATACAGCACACAATTAATGGATCTAGTAACCTATCGACTTCATCTTAAATGAAGATGAATTTTCTTCAAGTGCCTGACTCTGTAACTTGATTATGAATCTCCCCATTAAGGTTGTTCATGATCTCCCACCTACCCCTCTAAAGTGACCATCTTAGCTCACACTTAGAGCTTACTGTATATTTTACTCTAATTCAAGCTCAGATAACAGATAATCAGGCCAGACTCCCCACTTCTCTCTCTCTCTCTCTCTCTGTGTGTGTGTGTGTGTGTGTGTAATCACTACTTTCCAGTGCTTCTCAACCAAAATCTACCATTAAGTTTGTGTGATGACAACAATTCCTTTGTATTCAGATGGCTTAAGGTATTATCAAATATGAGTCACCCTGTAGCAAGACTCAGAGAGATACCTGTCTTCTTTCTTCTCTGCTCCTCCCTATACTCCCAACCCTGCCTGCCAAGGGCCAAAAAGTCAGAACAGAACTCTTGGTTCTGTAGCTCAATTCTATCATGACTGAATAGACTGTTGTATACCTGGCTAAGAATAAGACTGCCACTTAAAACAGTTGACACATGGGAGAAATGCCATAGTAATATGGGATCTGCCCCAAAGATATTGCAGTTGAACAGAAATTGCTGATCATGAACTCAGCGACATCTTATTCTGAAAGCCAGTTAGTCATTGTGGGCGAGACCTTGGACAAGGTACTCAACCCTTCTGAGATTTGGGTTTTCATTTGTAGAATGGACATAATAGTATAGAGCAGAGGCTTTCAAAGTATGGTCCTTGAACCAGCAGCATGAACATCACATGGGAACTTGTTATAAATGCAAAATCTGGGATCCTATTCCAGACCTACTGAGTGAGATATGTGAGGAGTAGGCTCAGTGATGCATTCATATCTTCCTGATGCATTCTAATGTTTGAGAAACACTTGTATAGAAGTACAGAAACAAAAAAGAGTAGTTCACAGTGAGGTTGTGCTTTGCTGCCTGGGGAAAGCTGGTGGATTCTTATAAGAACAGCTTTTCAGGTTCAGTAGCCTGCCTCACCAGCACACAAAGAGTTGGGGCATTGATCAGGGTGAGACTCCTGTTCTTGACCAAGTTCATCTGCCTGAGTCAGTCTTCATTATTCACAGATTCCATATCTGTGAATTCACTTACTTACTAAAATTCACTTGTAAGCCCCAAATCAATACTTTTGGTACTTTCTGAGTCGTTTATATACACACACAGAAGGGCAAAAAATTTGAGTCACCTGATTCACATGTTCCCAACTGAGGTCAAACAAGTCTCTGTGTTCTCACTTCATCTCTCATACTTGTAAACAAGTGTCCTTTTTGTGGTCTATTGGGTTTCTTTTTGTTTTTTCACTTTTGTGATTTTTATTGGTGATTTTGCTGTTTGGAATGGTCCTCCAATGTAGTGCTGAAGTGTTGCCTAAGTGCAAGAAGGCTGTGATGTGCCTTATAGAGAAAATATGTGTATTAGATAAGTTTGTTCTGGCATGAGTTATAGTGTTGTTGGTTGTGAGTGTAAAGCTAATGAATCAACAATATATATTAAATAAGGTCTTTAAACAGTGTTTAAACAGAAAATAAAGTTATGTGTTGATCAGGTGGGAAAAAAAAAATGGCCAGAGGCTTGCATGAGCCTAATCCTGTGTTTTTTTCTAGGAGCAATGATTTAGCATTGGGTAAATCAGTATTTGAGGATACTTTATAGAGCAAGACTCCCATGAATAATGAGAATCAACTATACAAATCAGAATGATTATGGATTCATTCACACTGAGAAATGGAGCTCTGCTAGGACCAAAATGCTAGTACCTGCAAAGGTAGTGATTTCTTTCCTGTCAGTAGACTTTTATGGAAAGCAGATCATAATCCAGTAGGTCCTCAGGCCTTAGAAGCGGGGGAGTCAGATGTCCCAAGTCAGCCATCTCCAGAATGGATGCTCTTGGTCATCCCTGGCTCCTCCCTCACCTGTGGTTGGCTTCCTCAGCTAACAAAGTTTGGGAAGTTCTGATAGCCAAGGGGACTAGAAACTCTGGAAGGGCCTTGATTAAGCCTCTTGGATGAATGTGGCCCATGCCTGCCTCTGGGTCCACTCTTCATTTGCATTCCCCTAAACTCTCATGAGTAAACCTACAGGCCTGTTCATTCTTTCAGCTCTGTCAAGACACCAGGAAGCCAGCCTATAGTTTCCAGGAAACTTTCTGTATTTCCTTTCTGACTCATTACATTTAACTTTAATTCTTAGAAGGCAGTTCTATTCTCTTATTTTCAATATCTTGCATCAGCTTTCATTGAAGCTCTGAGTGCTAACCAGATAGTATATACTTAGTAAGACGGTTGTAAGGCTTGAATGAACTAAACTATGAAAAGAACACTTTTCAGTTAAGTGCTTACTAAACATTAATGTCGTTTTTTTTTTACCTAAATCACTTTTACACAAGGTGTAAAAAGCAGACCTGATGACAGATCATAAATTTGGCCAATGGCATCTCTAGAGCTATATGTTTCTTTACTGATCAAAATAATACTACATGTCCACTGATGAAAATTTGAGTTAATATAAAAGTATAAAAAAGAAGATAAAAGCATAAATGTTAATAATTATGAGATATATCATAGTTTATTTGATAATCTATTAATAAAATTTTGTTTCATAAATCTTCCCATAATTAAAAAATGTAGTGATCCTTCCACATACACCTTTGCAGCCTATGTTATATCTCTGCTGGGAATTGATTCCAGAGAAATTGCTGGGTTACTTTTCGATCGATTATCGAAAACTCTTTTCCAAAATTTTTTTTATCAGTTACATCATTAAAAACAAAACAAAGCAAAAACAAAACAAAAACACACCAGTTGATTAGTTAAAAATGTCACCTTAATTTAAGGTTTAATTTCTGTTATATTACTACTGAGCACTTGTTCATATTTATGAACAGTTTGTATTTCTGCTTTTGCCAATTGTCAGCTTACACCCTTTGCTCATTTCCTTATTGGGGTGTTTCTTATTTTCTAACTTAATTTTAAGGACCTTTTCTCTTAAAAATATTAATCTTTGTCTTTGTGGTTTGTCTTTTAATTTTGTGTATGCTGTTTTACATTACAAAACCTTAAAATGTTTTATGTAGTCAGTTTTCTTTTTCAACCTTCAAATATTAGATGTATTTTTAAGAGTTATATGAGGAAGATGTTTAATTTCTTTTTGCAAATCATTACCTATTAAATGACAACAATTTATCATTTGTTTTAATTGCTCCAATAGCATTTAAAGTAGTTGTGTGCTGGAAGAAAATGCATTTGATTTAGAAATAAAAGACTGAGAAGTGATCTGTCCTTGGGCAAGTTACTTAACATTGCTGGGTCTCAGTATCCTCATCTGTACAATGAGACGGGTACACCTACGTCACAAAGTTTTGTGAAAGTTACATGATATAAAAAGTACACAACTATGTGAGGTATACCATGGTACCTATAATCTAAGTATTCTTGAAAATTGTTAATTTAATCTTGTATTTGGGGCTGCTTGCTCACACTGTGAGCAATGCACAAATGTGTGCACAAAAGTGGCATTTGAGCATCTTCTGAAAGAACTAGCGTTCCTATCTTTTTGATAGGAAATTTACAAGAATTTGTAAGAAATTTACATCTTTGTTGGTAAGAACTGCTAGGCAGGTCTTACTAGAAGGCTATGCTTTTGGAAAATGGAATGAAATTTTAGTTTAATTCAGTAAACACACACGTGTGCTGGGAGAGCAAACACACACGTGTGCTGGGAGAGCAAGGTAGCTAAAGCAAAACAGAACGTCAGACTTGGGTCATGCCAGGAAATATTGAGTGGAGACTACCCCTGTTTTGGTCAGAGTCCTTCCTCTAACAAATGCTCCTATTGGGCTACTACTCCCTTAGCAGAGTAATTGAAGGAAGTAGGTACTCATCACCAAATAATTTGATTCTAAGTCCCTAGATAACAATAGATTTGCATTTAAAATGCAGAATAAGGGCACCTGGCTGGCTCAGTTGGTTAAGCATCTGACTTTCGATTTTGGCTCAGGTCATGATCTCATGGTTGGTGAGATTGAGCCCTGCGTTCGGCTCTGTGCTGACAGCACCAAGCCTGCTTGGGATTCTCTCTCTCCTTCTCTCTCTGGTCTCCCCCTAGCCCCCTGCTCATGCTTTCTCTCTTTCAAAATAAATAAATTAAAAATATAAAATGCAGAATAATTGTGAAACACTATACAAAAATACTATTTATATTTCTGTTAGAGTTTTAAATAAATATCCATAAATTAAGATTACAATGATAAATACCAAATAGCTAACACCATCATTTTGAATGGGATTAGAAATAATTTCCATTTTCCTCTTTTTGTCTGTATTTTCACATGGACTAGTTATTATCTTTGCAATAAGAAACTGTTCTGTACACTCATACGTGTTTATGTGTGTGTACACGTAAGAAATCTAAGCATTTTGTTGGGGCGTCGGGTGGCTTAGTCGGTTAAGCGTCTGACTTTCGCTTAGGTCATGATCTCGCCGTTTGTGGTTTTGAGCCCCGCGTCGGGCTCTGTGCTGACTGCCAGCTCAGAGCCTGGAACCTGCTTCAGATTCTGTGTCTCCCTCTCTCTCTGACCCTCCCCTGTTCACGCTGTCTCTCTCTCTTTCTCTCCTAGAAATAAATAAAAACACTAAAAAAAATAAAAATAAAAGAAATCTAAGCATTTTGTGGTTCCACTTCTTTGGCAAAACTGTAATGAATCCCTCATTGCTGGTATCATATTAAAAAACAAACAAAACATAAAACAAAATATAGCACATATGGAATGATGTTAAAAAGGAAATCTCTCAAAATGTTTGATAGAGGCAGAAAATTTGACTTTTGTGCTAGTAAATATTTTAAAATGCATATCACAACCTATCTACAAATATGAAAATGGAGAAAATAC